TGAATGACTTTCATTCTTTCTTCTCACCTCTTTCTCAAGTATCCAATGATGTTGGAGCCAACTTGTGAGTTTAATTTCTCCTGAGGAGGAATGTAAACTGATCACATGTTGTTGAGCCACATGGGATACAACTCCTAAGTGGAAGCCTCCTAGTACTTTCCTGAGGAAGGTCCTATGAGTCTATTCACTTAGTTCCATTAGTTTGTCTAGGATTTCTCAAGTATCCAATGATGTTGGAGCCAACTTGTGAGTTTAATTTCTCCTGAGGAGGAATGTAAACTGATCACAGTTGTTGAGCCACATAGGATACAACTCCTAAGTGGAAGCCTCCTAGTACTTTCCTGAGGAAGGTCCTATGAGTCTGTTCATTTAGTTCCACTAGTTCAGATAGGATTTCCTAAATATCCAGTGATGTTGGAGCCTGCTTGTGAGTTTAACTTCTCCTGAGGAGGAATGTAAACTGATCACAGTGGTTGAGCCACATAGGATATGACTCCTGAGTAAACACCTCCTAGTGCTTTCCTGAGGAAGACACTATGAGTCTGCCTACTTAGCTCCCTTTCTTTGGTAAGCTTGCTTGGAAGCTTGAAGACTGGGATTGATTTCTTTTGGGTTAGGTTTTGCTTTAGGGCTTTGCTTAGATTTGATTCAGATTCTATGTTAAGGTTAGGATTAGAGAATAGATGATTCTTTCTCAAGCATGTGTTTTGTTTGCCTGATGGCACTTCATTTCCTTTACTGTTTGCTGCTTGATAGCATGTTGTTTATTTTCAGTATGATTACTGTTATTTCATGACTGGCTTGAGGTCGAGACGAGCTTGTGGAGGCTGAAGCCCCACACACATTTCCTCCCTCACTTGCATTGCATGCATTTTACTGTTAAGGCTGATGCTTTTGTCTGTTTTGGTGTATCATTGACATGATCCCTTAGGACTCTCATTTCCTCTGATGAGGATTTGATGATAGACTTTTAGGTTGAAACCTATGCATGACAACTTCTATGAGTTCCCTGTTCAAACCTCAACCATAGGATGAATCCATGGCATGATAACAGTAGGACTTGATAGTCTCCCTCTTAGTTGGGCTTGTTCTCTTCTCATCTCAAATCAGTTTAAGATACAGTAATCATGAATGATTTCTTTCGTACGCTACGAGCCTTAAGCTATCTGAGAAAGGACGCATTCCCTCTCAGGTCATAGTCTCTAGTGCGGTTGGGATCGCAAACACGGTAAAAAACACTTCTTTCAGGAGATAACCCGTAGTTTCCCGAACTACGTTTGCTCTGATCTTTCATACCAGATGAAAGTACGTAGGCATAGGATGCGATATCCTAGCGAGCAACCTTCCCCACCTTCACCCGTAGTTAGCCGAACTACGTTGACTCTGATTTCTCATTCTCTGATGAGAATACGTAGGCATAAAGTGCGACGCTTTGTCGAGTCATTTTTCTTTTCTTTTTTAGCCAGCCTTGATAGGTAGATAGAATAAAACCAACCCGTCCAAGTAAACAAACAAGCGAGGATCCCGTCGAGTACGACGGACGTGAGGGGTGCTAATACCTTCCCCTTGCGTAACCGACTCCCAAACCCAGACAATGGTTGCGACGACCTTGTCTTACCCTTATTCGTCAGGTTTTTCCGATCGTTTCCTTTCCCGCTCTGAGGGATAAATAACGAAAGGTGGCGACTCTTCTGTCATGCCGGCACCTTATTTTCGCGCAAGCGACACATAGTATGTTAATAGTTTAGCGGAGAAACACTTAAATAGTTAAACGGCTGAGGGAAGAAACCTTTCATTGGACTTAACAGAATGATTCAGCCCATCACGGTTCATTCAGGCACAAAACTCAATCAAATCATTCATCTATTTAATATTTAATAACAATAAGTTATAATATAACTAATTAATAATTAATTATGTCAATCCATATTTAATTAATTAAATAATTAATCTAACAATGATTTCTATATCTTATGCATTATCGGGAAAATCTTGTATACTTCTTCGCACTATTTCCATTATATTGTGGAATCTAAAGACGGGCTACGTTGTTTTGTTCCACCTATCGTAATTATCATAGTAAAGAATGGGGAGATTCCCACTAAAACTATTTCAAAAATTCTCTCAAAAAGAAACTTGTCATGCTCACTCAATAAATAAGTAAAATGAAAATCAAATCTTAAACAACTTAAAAACTCAAAAACTTGAGTCCCTAAAGACTTGCAAGAACTACATTAACACATAAACATAGAAGAGAAAGAGAGACCTTGAATATAAGATGTGTCGATTGAACACTATCATTAATGATCTTAGATTATTATTTACTCATACCACTAATTGAACTTATATAAGGCTCTAATCAAGCTCAAAAGAACTTAACCAACTTAAGTAATTAATTACTTGTACATAACACAAGTAATTAATTAAAATATTTTAGATTTGAATTATAACTCAAAGTATATATTAACAAGTTCTTGAAAATGTTAATTTGCGAATTCCGTATTTAGAGAATTGTTTTTAAAAAAATCAACTTTTTGTTAAAGAAAAACATTAAAAATTATATTTAATTTGTACATACCGGTTGTCACTATTAGACGGGTCTTATTAGATTTCCCTGCCAAAGAAAACCAGACAAGTGTTGATATGAAATGGAGTAATTGGGGAGATCTTAAATTTGTAAATTGCGGCGGTACCTTGGTGACAGTAAAACTGGCCTTTGGTATCAAGACGGCATTGACCTCCATCTAGATCATGACAAGTTGAACAATCTTGAGAAACTTGTAATTTGATTGCAACATCAGCAATTAAGAAGTAAAAAAGATCTTCTGGGTCAAAAAGTGGAACTTCATATTTAGTTGGAAGCTCCACCTTTGAACATCCTTTAAGATGATTAGAGTTGGAAGTGTTGGAATCAGTTACAACCACAATAGCCGTATTAGTATAGTTCCCGGTTCTACAGATGGAAGTAGAATTAGAAACAGAATAGTATTGTCGAAGATCGATTGTGTTGTTTATGTTGCATCCAAAAAAGGTTACGTAATTCTGGAGATGAGATGAAACCAAAGGTGTGTTGACAGTAAACATAGAATTGTATGTCAGGATTTCGCAACTTTTCTGTTGCAACAAATCATGGAGTTGGTCGTCTCGAATTGTGATTGTGGAGGGTTTGATTTCGAGAATATTGAACCATCTATTGTTATTTTGAATGCTTTTTGTGGACTCTGGTTCGGGGTCATCGCAACCGTGTATGGTTAACATGCCACAATTAGGGTGTTGTGGGGTTGTAAAAGGAAACTCGATCTGTCCAACATGTCCGCAGTTAATTGAAGGTGGACAGTTAGCTGATGCTAGTAGCAGTTGAATTATAATGAATAATGAAAACAAGAAAGGGTTTTGTTGTGAGGCCATGGTGTATGACTAAGGAATTGTGTCTCGATATGATTTATCAAAATTAATTCAGGAAGAAGCGTGGAGAGTAACAGAGGAAATAGTCTTGTTAGATTAGATACAGCCACTTTTTATTAAATTGCTATTTGGTTGCCTGTCATATTCTTGACTTAACGGGCAAATGTATATCTTGTTAGCCATTATTTGGTTGCCAAGTCAAATTGTTATTTTGACATGTTTGTGTAAATTTTAATATCATTATTTGATGCTCAGATTAACTCTATCCCTATTGAGTGAGATGAATAGACTTAGACTTGTCCCTGAGCGAAGAATGTCTCACCGCCACTCATGAAAACCTAAATTAAACTAAAATAGAAAAAATGAGACCGATCTAATCAAATGTTTCACATGATGATCAAAAGATCCATACCTAAAATGATTTTGGGTTCTATTGCTATGAGCGAAAGTGCAAAGAAGTTTCTAAAAACTGTGAAGCAGTTTTTTTTTATAAAAAAATGATAAGGTTGGGGAATTTTTTCCTTAAAATAAGAAGGCAAAAGAATAACCTAAAAAGTCCACTTGCTTCTTTTGCAAAAAGGTTGAACATATGAAGAAGGAATATTCGAAGTACACCACATGGTGTTACAAGAAGACTAATTTATCATTTTTGTTTGTTCTGAAATTAATTTAGTTTATGTACTTAAGAATACTTGATGAGTAGATTTTGATGCTACTACTCACATAAGTATGTCCATGTATGATTGTCTGTGGAGTCGTTCGTCAAGTGATGCTGAAAGATTCATCTATGTGGACGGTGACAATAAAGTTGTAGTAGATGCTATAAGGACTTTTATATTATTATTAAAGATTAATTTTCATTTAAATTTGGTTGAGACTTTTGTTGCACCGTCTATTAGACAGAAACTAATTTCTATTTCTATTTTGGACAAATCAGATTATACTTGTCCATTTAGAAATAATAAATTTAATCTCTCATATAATTCAAATATTGTTGGTTCCGGTGATAATCTTTATATGTTTATATTGAATTTTCTTGTAACAAAATAATACAAATAGAATCACATGCTAAAAAACAAAAATTAAATAAGAATTCGACCACTTTATGGCATAAGCGATTAAGACATATCTCTAAGCAGAAATTTCTGAAGCTTATGTCAAAAGATATTCTTAAATCTCTTGATTTGTCGAACTTTCAAGTATGCATTCAATGCTCAAGAAAAACTCCTGCATGATATCATAGGAAATTGGTTTTTCAATCCATAAGTAGAGGTTAAAAGTTTATATACAGGAAGTTGGAGTCCTGCATAGTTAGATAATCAAGATTATTCTGATTTTAACTACACATTAAATAACATAACTACTACTCTACTATACAAAATAATCTATGCTACACTGAACTTAACCCTTCAATTCTAACAATAAGGTAGAGCTGCTGAACAATCTCCATACGCCCAAAAGCTCAGTGCAGGCCTGTCTCCCCAGGGTTTTGCTACTTGATTGTGAGATTCAATCTTTTAATTGGCCTATAAAGATTGTGATTGCTAAAAGTGAAAGAGGGCTTAAAGAATAGAATGACTACAATTTTCAGCCTGCTATGACACCTTAACTCCACTAGGACGTTTTCCTTCCATTGCATCCTTCTTATTGCGACAATCACTACATAGAAAAGGACCTTGCCAGGGCTTCGAGCTTGTGGAGAAAATTGAACCTGCGTGGACAGATATACCCTCGCTTGGAGCAAGATCAACTTGGCATACAGCACAGACAAAAAGGCCAGATGTTGATTGTCCTGTGTTTTCATCATTTCCTAATCTGCAGGACATAATCAGTATGACAAAGTTCTACAAAACAAGAAAACTTTGTACACAAAAATATTACACGCATGTAATGCTTCTAGATAAGAATAAAAGATTACCTTTCAGCAAGCATTGCCGATCCTTCTTCAAACAATTCTTCCACTATATTTATAGCTGAAAGCTTCTTTGACAGCTTGCCAGCAGCATCACGGGACCTCTTCCTGAACGTAAAAAGATCTCTCAGCCTATTCCGCTTTTTCGGGGGCGGTGTTGATGGCAATTCGTTATCAGGTGGGATTATGTCAACTACTATGCATGTTGTATCATCCTTTAACCCTCTTGTTCTTAGGGCTTCCTGAATAACAGTAGAAATACATAAATTTCAACTTTGCAATATGGTTAGGCTTAAAACTTAAAATTACCAGGTTGAGCTAGCTTAACATAGTGGAGCGTGTTACCTTGACAACCTGCATAGCTGCAAGTTCGGCAGGCAAACCACGGCAAGATTTTGCGGCCATTTCTGATGATACAGCATCCCATATGCCATCAGAAGCAATTATAAGCCTTCCACCAGCTTTTGATAGCTAAGATCCATGACAAAGAGTAAGATGCATACGCTTTATAATCAATGACGAAAAGAAGAAAATGTTATCCGGAAACAAATTATACCTTCACTTGTTTGACATATGGTATCGGAACTATAAACTCCCCAACGTCCATGTCTCCTATGGACCTAGAAAGGCATAGTCCTCCTGGCCAGCATCGAAGAGGACCAATCTGCAATTATTCAAAACTATACATTTAAAACAAGAATGGGCTAATATGATGCTAGAAAAGCGGTCGCCGGCGAAAAGCATATATACAACATAATATGCTGACCTCAGCGCCGCCGACAATGCTAAGCCTCCCAACTTCACCTCCACTTGCAGTAACACGTTGTCTCCTGTATATACAGTGAACTCGTGACCATGAGCAATACAGAAAAAGCTAATTGACTCGGCCTTAGAGATGAAAATTTTGTATTAACATACTCTTCAATATTCTCTTCTAGTCTGTGATCAACTGTTAATGTGGTAACCGCACCACCCTGTGTATCGAGTATACAACGAGAATCTCCAACAGATGCAACTGTCACAGTCCACCGATCAACAATCACAAACGTGGCTGTGGTTCCAGAAGTTTCTCCTATACATAAACTGATTATGTTAGGACTCGTAGAAAAAGTTAAGAATAGCACATCAAATTCCTGAGTCTCTACTTCTGTTAATAAAGACTTTTCTATCAACAAACAATAAAAGCCAAAGTCCACACCTCTGCTCTGAAATTCCTTATCAGTCTTAACAAATCCAGCAACCAATGCCCTAGGTAAAGCTTGCAACCACTCGTCTCGTCCAAGTCCTCGAGGAAGAGCACACAGTACGTGATTTAACAAATTTTCCCTCGTAAAAACGGCAGCAGCATTTCCATTGTGTCCATCAAAGATCTGTGAACCAGAAGAAATGAGTAACCAGCCTTTTCATAAGATGATATGCTTCAATCCAAATAACATCAATTCAGTTTAGCTCACACTAGTTCAGAATTACACAAATCCGAAAAAAGCCATTGCTACGCCATAAGAGTAAAAAGTAAAGAAAATTTTCAATAAATTCAATCTCCTAACAGCTCGAAAGAAGTAAATATAATCTGAAATAGAATTAACGAAAAAAATACCGCAAATACAGAAAAGGCTGTTGAAGAGTTCCCCGGCACACGCTGACAGTCCGTCTTAATTAGAAAGTAATCCTCCCCTTTCTTAGATTGAGCAGCTTGACCAATCCTCACAGTAGGCTTCTCCATCCTTTCACTCTTCATCTCTCTCTTAAGCAACGCAGCAAGAGGCACAAGATCATGATGACGCCGCCTCCCTTCACCAGAGGCCATATCTTACTCCACCAAAGAACCCTCTTCTTAGTCTCAAACCCAATTAATCCAATTTCAAAACACTCAATTTCTCTCAAAACTATTGGATCTCAGTAAAACACTCAAAAGGGCACACACATCAAAACAGAAGCACTTATATGCACAGAAACACTGATTTTATCCCAACTTTTATCTGCACTCATTACATACAAAGTTGACACATCAGAATTGAAATTGAACAACAACCCACTAATCATATCAGTGCAAAATGTAAACTTTTTAACTCAGTTTTACACCACTGAAATTTAAGAACCATAAATTTCAACTTTCAATTAAACTTTTCCAAAATAGAAAGAAAGAGACTTCAAAGAAAACAAAAACACAAAACACAAATTCCAAACATAAAAGAAACAAAAGCAATAGAATTACCAGCAAGAATGTCTAGAACGTGCACCCTAGGCACAAAGCAAGTTGTAGATCTGAATGCTACACCAAGCAATTAAACATGCATAGAAAAAAAAAACACAAGTTACTATATCAATCAATATAACCACCAAACGCGTATTGATGACTAGGTATGAACTGTTAAACGCATTATTCTAATCATATATAGAATAATCTTTCATTAAAATAATACTAAGTACCAAATTAAAAGAAAATGGAAGGGACCAAACCAAGTCAGCTCTAAAACAAATTAAGCAAAGATTTAAGCTTTTACATGTAGATTAGATTCTGCTCCAGAACCAAAAGGAATAGCAATAAAGAAAATGCTGATGCCGTGGTAGCTATGGATCAAGCCAGCTATTATGGATGGAAAAAAGAAAGTAGCTTTAGTTGACATGTAAAAGCTGCACTTTGCTTGAAAATATCCACAACGAGTTTCACTTAAAAAGTCGATATCTTAAACTTATTTTTTCCGCTGCATCAAATTAATTCAGCTCGGTTGATAGTTATACAGAAATATTAGACTCAGACACATATTTTTTTTGTTACAGAAACATCTTACTCTATTTAAATATGTGACATCTAAATTTCAGTTGCTAAACTATTTAATAAATAAAAAAGTTATATTTCTCTATGTTTCCTTTGGCTAGAGGAAAAATATGTAACATTTTTCTACTTTAAGTGATTAATAAAGTAAACTACAGTGGAGAAAAAGATTGAAGGATAACATAACAAGGAAGATGGTGGGGACCACATGAAATAGTGTGAAAGAAACAAAGAGGTTTTGGCTTGGAGATGAAAATGAAAAATAAATGTTGATTGGGGAATAGGTGAATAGGAAGAGACACGTGTACGAGGGTTTGCATGTGTTTCTGGGATGGCAATGATGTAGACAGCGATGCGTTATAGTAATTTGTCTGTCTTTGTTTAGAGAGAGACAGTGCGCTGCAGCTTTGCTCGAACCATTACTTTCTTCTCCTCACCGAAATCAGTCAAGTCATTTGAATATATTAACAAAGTAATATATAACTAAAAGAAAGAAAATGTTGTTTTTGTTTAATTATTTTGATAAGTATTGATCGGTTTTTATAAGCTACTATATATTTAAAAATTATATTTCTTTTATCTTAGAATAAATTATTCATTTGAAATAAAAGAATGTTTTAAAATAATAATTTATTTCAATTTTTAATATTTTTTTAATTTTATTTTTTAATTAATATTATTTTTATTATTCTCAATATATGATAATGGTAGTTTAATAAAAATATCACTTTCTCTCTTTCATTTGTTCTTTTTTTTAATATGCATGAAATTGTCAATTAAATTACTCGTTGTGAAACGGAGGGGGTATATTAAGAGTACACCAATCCAATTATAATAATTAATATCCAACATGAGTTATCTACAAGGCACTCCTAACATAAAAAATTAGTAGGACACTTAAATTAATCATAATCAGTACATTTAACTTTTGTGTGATACCAAAACTCTAACCACCGTCAAGAATAACTAGTAAAAAACTCATGCGTCCGCACGGGTCCATTGATTTTAATTGATATATAATTTATTTATATGAATTTATAAATATGAATGGATAAATTTAATTGTATAATGGACGGGTCCATTAATTTTAATTGATATATAATTTATTTATATGTATTTGTAAATATGAATTGATAAATTTAATTGTATAATGCAAATTAATTATATCAAATGAATAGTATAAGAAAATGTTGGTGACTACTTAATGTAGCTTAAATTCCACAACCAAAATGTTGTTTATTTGAAGCATCTACAATTTCTGTAACTAAATATATATGATATGATAGTATCGCATGAATCTGGAAATACGAAATTATTTATAAGAACTTGATTATATAAATTGAATTGTATTAAAATAATCATAGAAATGAAAATTTTATTACACATGCAATATTTGAATATGATTTCCAATTCAATACATGTGTACCAGATAGATATGAGAAATAGGTGATATCACTTTGATCACATCTTTCTATGCCTTTAAAAATGTATAGTAATATTCAATTTTATTATAAGGTTAAGCATGGAACAAAAAACTAAATACATCAAATTTTGAGTTGTTTGATAATATTAACAGACCCTATATGATAATATCTCATTTGTTGGCTATAATCATAAAACAGTTACATTACATTAACTAAATATTATCGAAAATATATGCATAAGCAACCTGTATTCTATATACATGAAGAGGATGTATTACAATAATTACATCATTGAGGGCAGATACAAATGGAGGGCTGAAAAGAAAAATATCTGATAAACTTTTCATCCTTAGCAATGGTTTTCTCGACAAGTATCACCATTGATGATCCTAGGGAATGTCCGACCAACCAAACATTTGAATCAGCTACAGTTGCTACTGTGTTTTGAGAAAACTATTTGAACTAAATGCAAGTGCAACATTTGAATCACCTACAATTTCCTCCATTTTTTTTTCTTTTTGCAGGTCCAATTGTAAAATAGTTATTAAGTAACTCTGATAGCTTTTCATAGATTATATTTGCTTAGACCACATATCCCTCTCTTTTTGCCATCATCTGGTTGAAGATTCTCGGAGAATGAAATTTCATTACAATTTACAATTTGCAAAAGCTCTCACAAGCATAGGCAGCAACATATGAAAATATTACTCACATTTGGAGTTGAGAACACATCATCCTCATAAGAAATTGATCCATAAAGTTGAGGAATCCTAGAAGCCAGTCTCTCCAAGTCTGCATGCATTTTTTCTTTTGAATTAGTGTGTTGTGAATTGAAGGAGATGCTCCCTCCACAAACCTAAACATTAAGTTCATCAGTTATGTAAATGAAAAAATGTTTCCACCAATTGAGCAAGTCAATGAATTAAGCAACAAACAGACAGAATAAAACAATGCATGTACTACAAAAAGCCAACAAAGTGATTTACAATCGTTAGTTGGTCAGCACAATGTCGCTAGCTTCTTTCTTTCCTAACTCACTCTGGTACTGTAAAATGCCAGTAGAATAATGCACACGAGCGTGCTTGGAAAGAAGATTGCAATCCAAGAGCTTATTTGGTTTTAGAAAAGGCAATCGTTGTTTATTATGACTCATTTGAAACAGTTGAATATATCATTAATGACTCATTTGGAAAACTGTCACTGTACAACCTCACATATGAAACAATTTGTGTATCAACTACATCAATTTTATAAAATTGCAAGATTCAAGTTAGGTAGAGATGGCAAGACATGCTTACATACTCTATCAACTCTGGTGCCTCTACCTTGTATTAACCCTACAACAGTTCCCATCTCAAAAACAATGTCAAACTCTGATAAGCATCATACACTTTGTAGAAATGACAAAACCTTCCTCCATCATCCAGGACATCCCATCTTATCTCATCCCTGCCCCATAAGAGGATTGGGGAAATGCTAAATCTAACAGAGTTATATGAAATCCCTAGCTTTATAAATTAACACTCAAGAAAGAAAACAAACATGATGGTATAAACAATAAACTTATTTGGCTGTTAACAATATTACAGAACTACCTACAACTTACAAGTGAAATGCAAGTGCCTAGCATATATAAATATAAATTATTATAAAAGATTGATAGTGACAAATAGTGGGATAAAAACCACACCTCAATTTCAAATTCGCCAGATCCAGCATCACCAACTCAATCTTGCTGAGGTATATCATTGCGTTTTCGCTTTCCATCAGGCACTGTGAAGAAATCCTGGAATTTTTTTTAGAAATCTATTAGTATCTAAATATCATGACTTCAAGTTCAAACTCAAAAGAAATAAGCCTTTTCCTCCTTCAGAAGGTGAAGTTGTCTATGTAGACCAAATCATGCAATACTGCCTATGATGGACTTCATTCAATAGACCAATAATATCTAACTGTAAATGGGATAGTAATACATAGTCAGTGGTAATTCCATTTCATGTTGATGGTATAAAAGAGGATGAACAACAGACAAAATATCATAAAAATATAACATGAAATAGTAATGTGTTACAAATGACAACATGAAATATATTAAGCAAGTCATAAACTTGCAGTATTAGCATAATTAAAATGACAACATAACTAACTGAACATCAATTAGTTTGGGAGTATTTCCAGTAGCAGTAGCTATAAACTTCACATGAACGTGCTGAAATCTAATTTGTTTACTACCTCCCTGCAATACATTAAGTCTTTTTAATTAACAAAGTGCAGAAAATACATTACTTATTTTAAATATGACATACACTCAAAATCATAAATACATATAGAACAAATGCAGAAGATGATGTCATCAAAAGGATTATTGTCACAAAAGCTTCAGAACATGTGATCAAAAGCTTCAGAACTGTATCCTATACACTATCAAAATTGCAAAAACATGTTTTAATACACAACCTACTTCAGCTAAGTTTCAGAAGAAGAAAAAAATAGTGGAAAATAAAACACAAATTGAAGTAATTTTGACCCTCAAAATAGATTGAAATACACATCACAGGGCTTCAAAAGATATTTATACTTTGAATCTATTCCATAGAAATTTCATAT